AGAGTTAGGTGACTTACTCGGAGCCATTCCCCCGATCGGAATAAGGTCACAAAATGAGAACAAAGTAAGACGGGTTTAGCCACACACACTTTCTGGAGGAGATGTGCAGAGATGTGGCCCCGTTACTGACAGCCGCACCTGTGGGCAGGGGCTCCACGCACAGACCCTTCACCCGCCCTCAGTGGGGGTGATGGACCGAGAGGCTGCTGACAACCAGCTCACGAGACAGATGTGCCGTCTGGCTGGCACACTGCTCCAAGCTTCCCCCGAGTCCAGGCCAGATGGGTTCTAAAAACCCTTGGCTCTCAAGGACTCCGTGTGGGACACAGACTTAAGTCTTCACGGGAAAAACCTCTCCCCAAAAAACTCAAAGTAGGTCTGGCCCTCTTCGTCACACACAACATAGACCTTAACCTTCGTCAAAGCCCAGTGCACTGCCCCTGGGAAAGGACCGGCTGTGTTGGAGAGGAAGAGGCACCTCGTAAATAACTAAGGCGCGAGGGGTCCTCTCGCAGCACCGAGGGCCCGCCCTGCCCAGCACAGCTGACTCCCCAGGTGGACGGCCATCCCGGCCTCCTGCAGCTGACATCAGGAGGGGGAGATAGACCACAAACAAGGGAATAGCCAGAGGTCGCTGTGTGCTCTGCCCACCTCCCTTCTGTCTCCTCTTGTTCTCACAGAGTCGTCTGGCAGGGAGGGTGTGGGCCCTGGTGGCTGCGTGGAAGGGGCCGCATTCAGGTCCTGTCATCTGGAATCCACTGGGGGGGGGGTCCAGGCAAATCATCGGGGAGACTGTTTCACGTCGTGAGGCAGGGTCTTCAGATTCAGTGGGTGCAGGCATTGGTCTGGGGATGACGACCTCTGCTTGTCGCACTGCACCCCATAGGCGTTCCATCTGAGTGCGTGGTTGGGTGCGTTTCACTTAACGCTTCTATCTATGAGCAAAGCTGCGCATTTGAAGAGTCTGAAACAATGGTGAGATGAGACATCACAAGAAAGCAGCGTTTGTTGATCATTGAATGGGTTAGGTTAGACCCGTATGGCCAAAATGATATCCATTAAGTTTCTCCTTGGAACGGCTTCTCTCCTTTGATGAGAGAGCAGGTCGAGTCTACCAAGCTTACATTTTCTTGTCTAGAAAACTAGGTTAAGGGTGAGTCCGAGCCCTGCCATGCAGCTGGGATGTCAGAAGTTGCCCTGCTTCCCTTCGTGTCTACACCCCACGCGTGTAGCTGCGCACCTGTCGCTCCCGACCTGCGGGCCGTGGGCAGGTGTCTGTTCTCTTCTGCTTGCTGGGACCGGGTCCGTGTTCCCGGGTCCTGCTTAGTCTCACTTGCTCTTCTGCACTCCTAAGTGCCCCCCAGAATCCCGACTGGGTCCACACCGGTCTTCTCCCCCCTCACTTTACTACAGGAGATAAGCTCAGGAATGCTTGCAACACTGCCTTTAGTAACGTTTTGTAGCAGCCTTGTTCAGCGCGTAAAACTCATCCCAGCTGCTCCCCGCAAGTCCTTTCCACTGAGATCAGGCTTACTGCCTGCATGTCATTCGTCAGAGGTGTGACGCTCACTTTTAAATTTTTATTTATTTTTAGTTTTTAGTTCTTTTCATCCTCACTTGAGGGTATCTTCAGACAGAGTGGGAAGGAGAGAGAGAGAGAGAAACATTGACATGAGAGAGTCACATTGACTGGTTGTTTGTCCCCCACATGACACAACCAGGGCCGGGGCCGAACTACAACGAGGTACGTGCCCCTGACCGGAATTGACCTTGAGACTCTTTGATCGGCGGGCAGACCACGTTCATTTATTTTTTTTGTTTTTTTAATCCTCACCTGAGGATCTATTTTTCTATTTATCATTAGACGGAGTAGGAGGGAGGGAGGGAGAGAGAGAGAGAAACATAGATGTGAGAGAGACATTGACAGGTTGCCTCCCGCACGACCCGACCAAGGTCAAGGACAAACCACAACCGTGCCCTTGACTGGAATCGAACCCGTGACTCATTGGTCTGCGGGCTCTAACCGCTGAGCAAGACTGGCTAGGGCGATGTTCCCTTTTTTTTTGAAATGCAATGAATTGTTAAGATTTTAAGAAATGGCTTAATATCGCTGAATGAGGAGTCAAAATGTCAAACTAATTTAACATCTTAACTTACCCCTGAAATTTTCTCAGACAATGAAACTGTTAAGTATTGCCTGGAAGAAATGGCCCCCATACATTCAACTTGCTCTATCACGCTTCCCGGGGGTTATCTTTCTGTCCGCAGTGAACTGATCAGTTTATTAGGAGGCTCAGCGAGAAGGAGAAATAGAAAGACATTACCTTAGGAGTCCTCAAAAGAACCCGCTTGTATTTATTTATCTTCCTCCGAGGAGCTGTGCACAGACCCACTCGGCGTGCTCGGAGACCCTGAGCTCCCCGAAGCCGCCGCTGAGCAGACCTTCAGAATTCCTCACGCCCGTGTCTCTGGTGGTCGTCCCTCGTTGCACAGTGTGTGTGCAGCAGGTTAATGTTTACATCCGTCCCTGAAGAGTGAGGAGGAACTACACCTTGACACCGACTCAAGAAATACAGCCGACAGCCATCTGCTTTTGATGATAGAGGACACATTGAGCTATGTACACATACTTCATACGTGATTTGAACGTTCTGTTTCATCGGTAGATGACATGTATTTAATTATCCAAATGACTAAAGCCAAAGAAACGTGGTTCAACAATACTCTCTTGGCTCACTTAGTTCCGAGGCCGGGAGTCGGAATGAGAGCTCGGGGTCTTCTCTTCCCCACGTGTCCCCCGAGGGAAAGCGAGTGCGGGTGCTCACCGCCGAAGGCGTCACGTGTCTGACAGGCGCTGGACAGCTCGGCGCTGTGTTGAAGCTCCAGCAGTAGAGAGATGTCTAAGGCATGTCCCCGGCCCAGCGTAGTGGGGAAACAGATGCAAAGCCAGTGAAGTTATGATAGCGGAGTAAGTGTTGTCATGTAGGTGTAAACACAGAGCAGGGAGGGCTGAGAGCTGGAGAATTGGAGGGGAGCCTGGCTTTCATCAGGCAGGGAAAGCAGAGAGCAGCCCATGGACGGGCACAGGAGCTGTCTGGGAGGCAGCAGGAAGGGGCAAAGGAGGTTCTGGAGACTTGGCTGCCGCCAGGCTGTCTCCTGTGCTAAGGAACCCTACAGGGAAAAGGCCACTCATGGAGCTATCAGCAGAGGAGAGAGACATGATAAAGGAAAAAGTGTGGCCCGGCCAGTGTGGCTCAGTGGCTGAGCATTGACCCTGCACCAAGAGGTCGCTGGTTCGATTCCTGGTCAGGGCACATGCCCAGGTTGTGGGCCCGATCCCCAGTGGGGGGCATGCAGGAGGCAGCCAGTCGATGTTCTCTCTCATCGATGTCTCCATCTCTCTCTCCCTTTCCCTTCTTCTCTCTCTAAAGTCAATACAGAAAAAAAATTTCGTAAAAAGAGAAAGGTGTTGCCCTGGCCGGTTTGGCTCAGCGGTTAGAGCATCAGCCTGCGGTCCAGAGAGACCCGGGTTCGGTTCCCGCTAAGGGCATGTACCTTGGTTGCAGTTTGTCCCCGGCCCTGGTTGGTCATGTGGGTGGCAGCCACTCGATGTGTCCCTTTCCCATCGATGTTTTTCTCTCTCTCTCTCTCTCCCTCCTACTCTATCTGAACAAAAAATGTCCTCGGGTGAGGATAAAAAAAAAAAAGAGAGAAAGGTGTTAATTAGGAAGATAACTCGGGTGGCACTTGGGGTTAAGATAGACTACACACGGGCCACGGGGTCGGGAAGACAGGGCAGTCCTGTGTGTTCTCCTGGTACGGTGTGCCGGGGGTCTGAACCACAACCCACGCATTTGGGAACCGCACGGTCAGCCCTCCTGCCAGATGAGTTTTAAAATTTACGAACCGCTTACGAGAAAAAAGAAGTCTGGGGAGAGAAAACAGACAAGGGAGACTTGAGTGAGCATGTGTTGAGTGAAGAGGCCTTCACCAGCCCCTCCTCCTTTGACCAAATTCATCAGCGAAATTTGAGAAACTGTGGCCAAAGAATTTGAAACTGGCATTTCCCCTTCCCCCGCCTCTAGTCAACTTTTCATTGGCTCCCGGCTCCTAGCTAACCCTGGAGAAAGGTGTCTTTCAGCATTTACATCAGCCAATGAGAAGGCCTTAGAAGCAGGCTCCCAGAGTAGGAGGGAGGTCTGGCTCCCCAGGGAGGGCAGGAACCAACTTGCCAAAGCCTTCTTACAGCCAGAGCCACTTTTAAGCTGTTTCATCTCCAGGCTAGAGAGAGCGGAGTGGCCCCAAGAAGGTGCACCAGCTCCAGTAACCCTTCAGGCTGGCCTTGGAAATGGACGTGTCTCAAGCAGGCAGGGACGACACCCAGGCCCTGCTGCTTGTAGGTGTGTCTTTCACTGTCCGCGATGCCGTGTCTTTGGCACAGAGAGAAACAGAATTACACGTGGCTTTTCTAAAAAGGCAAGCGGACCAGACTCTTATTTTTCTGGTGGTTATGCAGGTCAAAAGAGCTTCCATCGCTAGGGAACGGGCACATCTCTGCGGACTGGGGCTTCGCAGTTGATGAGCCCGTGGCGCGGGGGTGGCGGTGAGTAGTGGTGGCTCAGGTAGCACAAAGCCCTGCGTGGTGGTTGTCCGACCAGCTTGGCGATGGTGTGTTGTCAACAGGTTTGCTCCCTGCTGCTCAAACCCCTTCCCTTTCGATGCAAACAGCAAGGTGATTGCAGTGTGCCCCGGAAGGCAACAGTGATGAAGCAATTCATTGTGCTTCTGGGTCTGACTGAATTCCGGTTTTCTCCTCTCCAAGTGGTGAAACAGGAAGGGACATCCCACCAGGAAGAACCCGAGGTGCCATCCAGTAGCTGTGCCTCACGTCACTGACCGCCCTCGGTCAGAAATCTTGACTTGCAACTTTCGAGGGTGGGTCTCCGAAGGAATGTCAGCACTCAGACAGAGGTGAGGGTGCTGCCTCTCGGGAGAAGCAGCTGCCGGAACGCGGGGCCGGAGCAGGGGGCACTTTCTGTGGACTTTGAAAGGTAGGCACCATCCCTTTGATGTCGCTACTGGGGAACTTTCAAAACCAAGGCGGCCTTGACTGTGTGTGCGTGTGTGCGTGCGTGTGTGAGTCACAGAAAGAGAGACAAGAGGGAGCAGAAGGCTCGCTCTGGCCTGGTATTCTGCGAGAGATCAGAGAAGAGGGGTTCGAGTCCCTTTGCCTGGCCGGCCTTGCTTCAGACGTCTTTCGTAGTGGAGTGAAGCGCTCTGTCCAAACTTCCACGTCTGACCTGTGTCACTGGCTGTTCGGGGAGTTTGAACTGACTCGTTGAAGGGCTACGGAGAATTGTCCCCGGGAGTGAGGTCCCATGAGGCGGATGCTCGGCTTTGTTTATTAGGAGCCTTGACCTGCAGTGAAACACCAGGCGAGACCGCAGACCGGCAGGTGGCATGGCCAGGGTCACTCGTGACCTGTCTGAATGTCTCCGTGTGCGGCGAGACAGGACTGTCTTCCCTGGCAGCGGGGCACACTCCTCAGCTGTCTGTCTCGGGGCGACCATCTCGGTGTCATCTCTAGAAGACACTAGCTGATTCGTGCTCAAACCGCCAGCCCCGCGGGGAGAAATGAAACACAACTTTGTTTGGTTCTAACCCAAGCCCATGTTTGGCAAGGATGGTCTTTTAAGTAATTTGATTTCCTAAAAAGCCCTTACACGGAGCAACGAAAAGAAACCTTTGGGACTCACCAGATGGTGACTGTTCATTTATTCATTAATCCATGATGTTCATGTACCTTCTCTATCATGAGTGAGGGCTTGGAGTTTAAACAGCATCTTTTCATTCCTCTCCCCCTTCAAGCCTTTTTTCCCCCCAAAGTGTGTGTGTGGGGTCCACTTAAAATTTCATCGGTAGAATTCCTGGCCTAAGGGACAAATTCTTTAAGGGGAAAAGAGGCATACGTTCATATAGACAATATGCAGACTCTTCCCATCAACAATATTCCTGCCTTTTCTAAAAGCAGTCACCTTAAGTTACATACGTTGGAAGATAATTCTGGGTTCAGAATAATCTACATTTATCGAGCTCTTACTGTACATACATGCATCTTCCTATTTAATCCAGTGAGCGAAAACTCACACTGCGAAGTTTTCAGGATCTGGGGCTGAGAGAGATGCAGAGACATCGCAGGGGAGGGGGGAAGTCAGATGTCTGCTGCCTCTGTGCTCCCGGAGGTGTGTGATTGGAGGCTGCAACGTTCCCATCCTATCCAGCCCGCCCTTCTCAGAGCCCTCGTCCCGAGAAGGAGTTCCAAACCCATGATAGTATCGCTAAGTTGTATCTTGTAGCAAAAGACCAAAAGGCAGTCCACAACCTGCTTCTGTTGCGGGCATGACGGCGTGGTGTGGTGGACGGAAAGGCAGAAAGATCTAGATTTGAATCCTTGCTTCTTGCTTGCCAGTTCTGTGGCCTAGGCAAGTTGGTGCAGCTCTTCACACCTCGGCTTCTGATGGATAAGGTGATGATGGTAGTGTCCATCACACAGGGTTGCTTGCTATGAGGAACACAAGGACGAGGTGTGCAAAGCCCTCCTGCCTGACTAACTGGCGGTGGCCTCTCCCTCGTACTCACGTCTCGAGTTGTTTGCTGATGCCTTCTTATGTCATGATGTGACTGACTTTCTCTGAAAAGCACATTGTGATTCTCGAGAGCCTTCAAGGTGGAGCTGATCCCGCTTCAACACAGCCTCTGCGTCCGGGCCGTGAGCATCTTTGCTAAGAGTCCCCATGGCACAGCGCCCGAGCAAGAACATCAGATGCTTCTTGTTCAAAAGTCAGTTTCTTGTGCTAATGATTGCAGAGTTGTGCATCAGTACACACACACGCACACACACTCTCTCTCTCTCTCTCTCTCTATCTATCTATCTCTCTCTCTCTCACACACACACAGGCAGATCATCTGAGTTTTCCTGGGCCCCCAGAGTCATAGCAGAAGCGTTGCCCATGGGTAGGGTACCCATGAGAGGAGGGTCTGGCTACAAGACCTCATGGGACAGAGTATAGTGTGGCACCCACTTCCTTACCTTGGGCCCCAGGCAGGTCATCTACACTGCAGCCTTGGGCTTTCCAAGCCCCCCGCCCCCCCAATGTGACTTTAGGAATACAGGACAAAGATTAAACTAGAGATAACACACCTGTATAAAGATGGATCCGAAACCCGCGAGATTGGCTTATTTACTGGCTGAAAGCCCGGAGACAAGTTTATCAAGTAGGCCAGTTGGCATCAAGAAGGGTGTTTTGACAGTGTGTCCTTAGCTGTGAGCCCTGATGAAGCAGAGGTCGTCACAGGGACCCAGGAGAGGATCCCTGGACCTCCGGCTGGGGTCAGGGTCAGGCGCACCCTCGTCCCCCTTGCCTTGGAAACACCGGCAGCGGCCTTATGGGCCCAAATTTGCTGTTTCGTTGCCTTGGTGGACCCAGACAGTTGAAGAAATCTTTGAGTTAGGCCCAGACAGACCAAAAAGACATCCTAAAGTAGCAGGACCCGTGTCCCTAAGCTCTGTGCGAGAATCAGTGTCACCGTTTTGCGGGTCATACTGTCCATGCTGCCTTGACATTGTGTCTTGTAGCAGGGGTTTTAAACGACGCAACCTTTGCCTAAGCCAAAAATCCCGGTGAAAATAAATCAGGGCTTAGGTATGAAACCGCAAATGGCAAGTGGCTGAGGATTTAAGAATCTCTGACGTGTACAGCACCGTGCCACCCAGAATCCCCCACGGGCTTTGGTTGGCGGTGGGCACGTGTTTGATCGTGAACAGACTTCAGCGATCACTGTGTTTTTAAAAACAGCTAAGTTATTCCCAAATGTCATTGTTATCTCACCTTAAAGCCTGAGAAAACCCCTTAATAAACAGAAGATAGCTTTAGTAAGAAAAAGAATCGACTTTGGGATACATTTCATCTTTCCCGAGTATGAGAATTTACAATGTCTCAGACTGTAAGTGTCGACATGCTGCTCAAATACAGTCAAAAGGTTTGGGTTCATTTGAATGACCATCACGTCTTTATTCCCTGCCCAGCCGGCCACTGGGGAGCCCGTGGAGGGGGTCGTGCCTCGGGCTCAAGGAGAGTGAACTGCAGAGCCCGGAGGCCTAACCCGGAGCTGATGTTTGGTTTACAGAAGTTCCAGTTCAATGGAAAATTTCCTTTTTACGGTTTCCTGAATTCAATCTTCAGGAAATGCCAGGAAACTAAGATATTTCACCAAAATTTCCAAATGCCTCTGCTTAGGATTGGCGCATGCACACACACACACACACACACACACACACACACTTGTGTGCACGTGCACAATATAAAACAGAACCAGAAGATACCTACTGTTTTGCGTGGGCCACAAAGGCCGACGTGGGTTGCGCTGCCTTCGCCCACCCTGCGTCTGCGCCCGCTCAGACGTGGGGCGTGTGGCCGCCGACCCTGGAAAGGGAGAAGTGTGGGAGCCGTTCTCTCGATTTTTCCTTTAATTGAGACAGAATTGACTTATAACATTATATTCGTTTCAGATGTGACATAATGATTCGATATTTGTATACATTGTGAGATGATCACCAAATACATTTCTCAGAAAAGGGAAAATGATACAGTTCATAGCTAGAGCATATGTTCAGGTTATCTGAAGAGAGAAAATGCTACATTGAGGGGCTTAAAATTATTTTCATTTACTCTCTCCATGTTCTACAATGAAGTACTCAGTGGGAAAAAGACATCAGCCTTAAATCTCTTATTCTCTGTCAATATTGTATGCGAAAAACAAGGTCTGTTTCTTTTATTTTGATTCCTTTGCCAGACATGTGTGTTTCAGCAGATTGCCAATAAATACTTGTTGATTAGATTGGTCCTGACTCAGGCTGAACAATAAAGTAATCATGTCAAGATTGAAGCCCAAATTCCGAGAGCATACTCTTTAATAATGAGGATTACCTGAGACCACTTACTAACTAAATTGGCTTCAATTCTTCCCCTCAAATTTGTTTTCTTGTTCAACGTCTGCTTAAAACTTCATAAACTTAGACTGTGCTGATGCGGAACAAATCCCAGATCGCGCAGATTAACGATTTTCGTTGGTCGTGTTCACATCATGGGTTCATTAGCATGGTCCATGGTGGGTCAAAGCTGCAGGGTCTCCTAACGAGCTCCTTCTGCTGCACCGGCTCATTAGCTGGGCCTCGCTCTCCCTGACTGGTTCCGGCGCAGACCCACTTTCTGGGATCTCTGGCCCCCCTCCAGCTGCAGACAAGCAGAACTTCAGTGTTTCTGGACGGTGACTGTAAAATAACACGCAACTTGAATCTTCCTAAGTAATTGTTTCACTGATTACACTGGTTTTCAAACTTTTTTTTTGCCTATCACTGATGGTAAGAAATACTTTTTAGATCCCAGCTTTGAATACACACACACACACACACACTAACTGAAAAAAAAAAGTTTCACAAAACGATACTTGGCACATATTGATGTTTTCTCTTCTATTCCATTCCACTCTAAAAATCTCTGGTCATGACTGATGAATTGATTTTGTGACCCATTAATAGTGGTTCTCAATACTGGCTGGAAGTAAGAATCAATAGGGAACTTGATTTTATTTTATTTTTTTTATCCTCACCCGAGGACATTTTTCCATTTTTTGTTCAGATAGAGTGGGAGGGAGAGAGAGGAAGAGAGAGAGAGAGAGAGAGAGAGAAAGAGAGAGAGAGAGAGAGAGAGAGACATTGATGTGAAAGGGACACATTGAGTGGTTGCCACCCGCACCACCCAACCAGGGCCGGGGACAAACTGCAACCGAGGTACGTGCCCTTAGCGGGAACCAAACCCGGGTCTCTCTGGACCGAAGGGCGATTCTTTAACTGCTGAGCCAAACTGGCCAGGGCCCAATAGGAAACTTTAAAAATATACTAAAGCCAGGCCCTGGCCCAGTAGCTCAGTTGGTTAGAGTATTGTCCCAATACACCAAGGTTGCAGATTCAATTCCTGGGCCAGGCACAAACAAGCAACCAATGAATGCATAAATAAGTGGAACAACAAATCCATGTGTGTGTCTCTCTCTCTTTCTCTGTTGTCTCTTCCTCTCTCTCCTTCTCTCTGTGTGTGCCTCTTCCTCTCTCTCCTTCTCTCTCTCTCTCAAATCAATAATAACAATAATAAAAGAAATATGAAAGCCAAAGGCACACTAGATGATCAGAATGAACTAGAGATTCCAGAAATAAACCTCCACATATTTGGGCCCTTGAGTTATGACATTATTAATACTATGAGGCAAGGATGGCCATTTGACTGTCCACATGGAAGGTAAAAGAATCCTGATACTAATCTCAAAATGTGTACAGCTCTAGATGTGAATGTGTGTGCCCGGGAAGACAACATAGCTTCTGGACCTGCTCCAGCCAGTGGCAGCTGCTGGCTCCGTGTGGCTCTCGGGTCCCCGGGTGCGGCTGGCCCAGCAGAGACTCCAAGTGTGAAACGCACAGCAGGTCTGAGAAACTTACTTGCAGAAAAATAATCCAGAATATCTCATGAATCATTTTTACGCTGATCACATGTTAAAATGGTATTTTAGATATATTGGGTTCAATAAAATATATCATCAAATTAACTTCAGTTTCTTTCTCCTTTTAAAAATGTGGCTACTAGAAAGTGTTAAAGTCACATAGTTGGCTTCCACAATTTTTCTGTTGTACTGTGTCATTGTGGATGACAAAATAGAACATATTAATAACCTCAGGGTAGGCAGTGATTTCTTAAACAGGGCATAAAATGTACTAATACAGTGAAAAAGTATCTATAAATTGGACTATATTAAAACTAGGAATTTCTTTCCATCAAAGCATACCAATAAAAGAGCAAAAGACAAATTGCAGAGGGGTGAGGAGACATTTGCCATATAAGTAATCAACCAGGCTCTGGCCGGTTTGGCTCAGCGGTTGGAGCATCGTCCTGCGGTCCTGAGAGACCCGGGTTCGGTTCCCGCTAAGGGCATGTACCTCGGTTGCAGTTTGTCCCCGGCCCTGGTCGGTCGTGCGGGTGGCAGCCACTCGATGTGTCCCTTTCACATCGATGTTTCTCTCTCTCTCTCTCTCTGTTCCTCTCTCTCCTCCCCCACTCTACCTGAACAAAAAATGGAAAAATGTCCTCGGGTGAGGATAAAAAAAAAGTAATCAACCAGGATTAATATGGAAAACAAATGAACAAGTCCGTGCAATAAAAAAACGACCAAGAGATTTGAACAGCCACTTCACAGAAGCATATCCGAACAGCCAGGAAACACGGAGCATGCTCCGTGCACCCTGCACACGTGCCGGAGAGGCTCAACTTTAAAGACAGACCACAGACATGCTGGTGAAGGCGTGGAGCCGCTGGGGCTCTCGTACACAGATGGACGAGTAGAAACTGGGACCACGTCTTTGGGAAACAGTCCAACAGCGTCTGTTACACCTGAGTATATGTATACCTCCGAGCTAGCGTTTCCACTTCTCGGTATATGCCCCACAGAAATGCACGCGTGTGTTTACCAAAAGGCGCGTTCAAGAATGTTCACAGAGAGCAGCATGATTTGTGATAAGCCCCAAACTCAGAACAGGCCGCGTTTCTGTCCGTCACAGGGTGGGAAGAGGGTAGTGGACCACGGGATGCCAAGCACCAGTGTAAACGAGTCAGCTCCTGTTCCGTGCATCTGCCTGGGTGCTCCTCGGTCGTCAATGCTGACATAATGCAGATGCGAAGGAACGCGTTGGGTATGCTTCCGTTTACATGAAGTCCAAGAGCAGGCAGCACTGATCCACGGCGTTGGGAGTAAGGATGGGATTGTTGGGGAAGGGGAGGGTCTTGGGTGCTGATAACATTCTTTTTTCTTTTAATCCTCTGCCTGTACTGCCAAATCTTCTGATTATTCGGGTGAAGTTGCAAATCTGGATTTTTATGTGAAAACCTCTGAATTTCACTTTTTAAATATATTTTTACTGTTGACACTATTTACCGATGTCCCCTCTTTCCCTCATCTTGGCCCAGCTTCTCCCAGCCCCCCGCCCCTGGCCTTCACCACACTGTTGTCTGTGACCATGGGCTATGCGTGTATGTACTTTGAATTTTAAGTGCTGGCTCGCGTTGTTTTAGAACACTGTGCAGGTCAGACAAAACGGATTGGTTGGCCCAATTCGATCGGCACCGAGTTCTACCACTGGTTCATAACTCTGACTTAAAGTTTTATAGTTAGAAGGAAACCTATGGGTATGATTGTATAGTCTACTAATTACTTTCCCCTTTTCTGCTTCTGCAGGGATGTTGTGAAAGGAAACGCAACGCCTTAATATATACACACACAGACAAATATACACAGCATACCTGAGCTCGTTGCAGTGAGCTATCATATACACGCAAGGTAATTATCATTATTTACGTTTTATTTGACCGCTATTGTGTTTTCTTAACTGTAATCTTGGAAAATTACATCTGTAACTCAAAAGCTGAGCATATGGTATTGTTTTTCATGTTCTGGGGAGCAGTGGTTTTGGGGCCAGGCAAGTACCATGTTGTTACTGTCTGTGAAATACTATACATTTCTCTCCTCTTTTTTTTTAATGAAAGGGGATGTGTTACGGAAGGCGTCACCAGGTGGTAAAGAGCCTCTCAATCGTAGGTGATTCAATGAGTTCACACTTGTGGAAGAAAGTTTATACATTGTGATCTATTTTATAACCGCTAGTCATCACTTTAATCCTCTCGTTGTTTTGTGATGCGCTGTGAAGACAGAGTGTTGCTATTCTCAGTTTGCCGCAGCACAACCAAATGTCAAGGCCCCGGTCATCTGAATCACATCCGAATCACACTTACACTTGCTCCGGCACCAGTGGTCTGCTTACACGGACGGGGGGCTTTGCCCACGTCCCCACCCTCCGGTGTAACCAATCGCTCACGGGTCCGCAGAGAATGCAGAAGGGGTTTGTGACCCCGGCATGCCACCACCCCCTCTTAGCCTATGCTTCTCTGCACCTTCTTACCAGAAGCTTTGCAGCTGCACCCCGCCCCCCCCCCCATCTGCTTCCCAGTTGGGGGAGAGTAAACGTGAGAGGCGAGGAGGACTAGGAAGCACCGGTGAGCCGGAGTAAAGACCTGCTCCCTGCTGACTCAGGAGGCGCTTTCTCGGGGAAGGAGGTTCAGTGGGACCCCCAGGAGTTCCAGGAGGGTTTCTGTCCCGGCTGAGCTGCCAGTCTCTGTCGTGGCTGCTCGGCCAGAACAGATCTCCCGGCTCCCAGAAGTCCGGGGACTTCTAGGGCCGCAGACAACTCTGAGCCCGTGGACAGGCTCACCCTGACACCGGCGGGGCCCAGGGCAAGATCCCATGTGGAGGCACATGACCCTCAGCCTGTCCCTCCCCCAGCCCCAGCCCTGTCCTGCTTGGCTGTGAGCCCAGTGCCGTGTATACAGACACCTCTGTGTATGTGATCAAGCATGGGTCCCCCCTCCCGCTCTCCAGCTGTCCCCTTCTGGCCATCCCTAGGCCTGCGAGTACACTGTGCTATTGCTTTTAGGAGGACGGACCTGGGGAAGCATCCATGCTGGCCTTGGATGTGGGCTCAGAGCTGCTTGGGCAGGGAATTCTGGGTTCCTAGGACCCCTAGCAAGTCTGGAAAGGGGGCATGTCCCCTTGGGCCCGTGGGAAAGAGATGTGGGGCTCCTCTTGGGCAAGGTTAGTGCCCTTGGCACATCGTTGGTACTTAATGGTCATGACTCATGCATGACGGAGTGACAGAGGCCGAGCAGTTTCAGAATTGCTGTGGAATATCAAGTGTGACTCCTCTTGTATGCCACGCCCCACGAACATCCCCGAACAGCAGGCAAAGCTCGAAGCTGCTTCGATTTCGTAAGGTGGGAGGTGACATCCCCGACCTCGTAAACCAGCAGGAGGACCAATTTACTGAGAAACGTCTTCACGCGACAGGGAGGAAAAGTAATTCAGGCTCTCCCACCCCCTGAACAAAAGGACTTCACTGAGGTTCAGATAGGGGTCCCTGGCGTCTTCGGAGAGATGCATAGGTTTAGAGTAGTGTCTCTCTCATGTCTGTTTCACACACTCTACTTGGGATGTTTCGAATTGAAGGTCATCCGATCCTTTCATTCACTTTCTTTCAGCTCATTCCTTTCTTTCAGATCAACCTTAAGGCATTTCTGTTCAAATGTCACTGCCCCAACGACACAGAGGAATGTGAATTCCCTCAGCCAGCGCCCGTAGAGCCGCCACCGGCCCGCGGGTCGGCTCAGCTCCCGTCCCGCCACTGTCCTCCAGGTTTAGTGCTGCCTCACTAAATTCAGTCGTCATCCATAGTAACTTTTTCCAACTTTATATTTTTGGCAGGAAAAAAAATTGAGAAAATATCCAATAAGCCTGGGTATAAAGGAGAAGAAATTTTAGAAACGAGGCTTAGGAACTTTATAGACCCCAAGTCAGAGCCAGTGGAGGGGTTAGGGGGGGTCACCTCGGCTCATGCTCCACCTTCCTCCCCAGGGAAGAGGAGGCTGGAAGTCTGTCAGTGCCCTGAGCTCGCTGCGTGTCGGACGGTATTTCTCCTGTTCGTAGCAGCTGCTGTGCACCAGCAGCAGCAACCAGAGGGACCGAAATGAAATCCCCAGATGCACATGTTAGAAACTTACGGATGCCCCTTTGGCAACAATGTATGTTTGAAAGCCTGGAAACCTAGGGACATTTTCATTCATTCATTCATTCATTCATTCATTCATGTTACATTTTTATACAATATACTCAAGAGATTTTTTTTTCCCCTTCCAAACACTTTTTGCACACAAAATACCTCTAAATTGAAAGCCATAGATTTAATCATTAATGAAAAAAAAAAAAAAGTACCATGCGTAAATGAAACATTTTCTCTATGTTACAGACTTTATAGATAGCCTGTATCTCTCTCTGTCTCTGTCTCTCCTCCATCTACTTAAAAAAAAAACCTGGCCTTATACTTTGCTTTTCCTCTAAGGGGCTTCTTGCATTAGAGACTGGACGGGAGTGACCAGTTCTTCTCAGTTTTGAGATTTTTCATGGGCTATTTTCTCTTGGTGAATAAAAATACTAAGGGCTGGTGTCTGTGGACAGGGGACAGCTGCCCTGGCCACGGAAGGGAGAAAACAGTGCGGAGCAGGAGGCGCCCCGTCCCCCGCCCATCCTGATGGTTCTTGCCGGAGGGAAATCTGGCCTTTTATTGTTGTGACTTTGTTTATGACGTCAGAGTCAAAGAAGGGAGCCATGGAAAACAGTCCGTTGATAGGATTTCCTGCCTTCTTGACCATTTCCCTGCCCTCTGCTGGAGGCTCTCAGCCCCACTGCACCCCACCTTCATCTGAATATTAGTGGAGTCGTCATCTCGTTCTTTTCCAAGGGGTGCATCATTCTGTGGGGGCAGCGGGCTGAACCACAGGAAACCCTGCCTTTAAACATTACGTAACCATGTATTTTAAAATGTTAAAATATTAAAATTGGGGACTTGCTTCATCAGTGTGCCTTAGTAACCCCAAGACCTTCCCTAAGACTAAGTCATCCTCCTCCAGCTGTGATTCCTTCTGATCAAGGCGTGGCCCCACGCCCTCCTGTGGTCCTCACTCAGAAGGCTTCCCTTGGTGACACTGCCCAAGACGGGCCCTACCGTGGGAGGGATGCTTCTGTCCCTGAGGAAATGAGTTCCCTAGCCAGTGACACTCGTTCTTCAGAGAAGCCACTTGCCTCACCAGCACTGGGTCTGGGTCACCTCAGCACTGCGCAGGGCATCGTAGGGAATCGTGGGTGGTCACTGGCTTGACGTTCTTTAACCCTGGCCGAGGCTTTGCAGAAATAAAAATTATGACACCTATTTTACCGATGAGGCAGTCAACGCTTGGAAGTCACTGCTCTCATGAAGTCCTGTAGCTGGACGGGAGTGAAGGTGGGCATTCGGATTCCCAAGCCTTAATTCTTGCTAAGCCCACAGGCCCTGCGTTCCCACGGGTCCTGTCCTGGGACCTCTACCCCAGTGAGTTGTGCGGGGAGGGCTGGGTCCTCGCCTCAGGTGGGTCTCATTGTTGGAAAAGTTGGCATTAGAGGATACGGTGCCAGGTCTTCAGGACTTGTCCTAGGTGTTCTGCTCAGCACAGTGGGTGCCTATTATGTGGGTCCCTGGACTGTGGGAAACCCATGAAACCAGCAGCAGGCGATATGGAGACCTTGGGGAATTGGGGGGTCTGTGAGACGTGTTCCCTGACTGTCTCTTGAGGAGTCTTTTTAAACTCAGTGCTTACTCTTATTATGTAGAGCAGCCTGATCTGGAATCCTTGCCCATACCCACAAGGCTAGGATAGTAAGCCACTATGACTACTCAACAAACACTGACCCAGCATTTCACTGTGCGCAGGTGTTGTCACACACCTGCGGCAGGTTTCTGCAACAGGTGAGCCCATGCAGGTTTGGAAAGACTGGGTTGCCCAAGACCACTTAGCTGTGACCCCAGGGCTGGCCTGCAAACCCGCGCCTTCCGACACCAGAACCACAGTGGTTCTTTCTCCTGGGTCTCAGCTGTTGGACAGACAGCTGCCTGAGCTGCTTGGTGTGTGAAGTACTGTGCTGCTTGGTGGTGGTGGTTGTTTTCATTTTTTATTGAATTCACCAACTATGGGTTTGCAGTTTGCATGGCGGTCTTCCTGGCCCGTTTACCTGGGGCTGAGTGACAGGAAAGCCCCGCTGCACAGTCCGGGGTACACGGATCCTGGAGTCTCAGATGGAGCGCTGGAGACAGGCTCAGCCCCACCCCCACCGGGCCCTCTGGGAGTCGCTGGCAGCTGGGCTGCCAGCTGCTTGCTTTGCATTCGTTACTCACTTGTGACTGAGACTAGTAGCACAGCGACTGGCCAGGCCAGATGCGTGTGACTCACCAGACAGGAAGAGAGCTGCACGCACGGAACGCAGCAGAACAGAATATTCAGTAGCAGATGGGAGGAGGAGCTGCTGCTGCGATGCTCGCTGGGCTAGATTCTCTCGGCCTTGAGATACCATCGCCTAGTCACCCGGCTCTTAGTCTACGCTCCAGACCTCTCAAGTTAACCCGAACCACCGCACTTAACTGTGGGGAAGGGAATTCCGCCTTCGAAAGCAGGACTAGTCATTATCAATCCTGTGTAGCTTTCTCATGGATTCCCTCCCAGTGGTCTTGGGCTCCTGTCTTCTGAACCCGAGGATTTGCATTCTCCTAAGATGTGTCTGTGCTCAGCTTTGTGTCACAGCCTTCTGGTCTCAGTCATACCTGCTCCTCTGCAAGTTCTGATCCGTGTTCTCAGCCCAAGTGAACTTCCAGTCACTTGCCTCTCTCTTGGTCCCCAGCTGGGCTCCGGCAATCCCTGTCAGAG